TTGGTGTAAGAATCCTAGGAAAAATATTTGAAAAACAAATTGGCCCAATATCCTTGACAAATTAATCCCGTCTTTTAGGTATACTAGTCCTTGAAAAATTACTTTTAGGAATACCTCTTTTATTGGCCTATAGTCCTGGGAAAATATGACTTGTAAGTCCTTATTTTTTGTCCAACTTTATTTGTAAAAGGAGTCTTAAAAATTACACTTAGGAAAATTCTATTAAAAAACGGGGTTAATATTCTTTATTCTAACAGCTCCCAGTAAATATTCATTAGAAACTATTATGTTTTGGCCTATTAGGTCTAAGAAAAATATTTAAAAAATCATTACTTATTGATCTAATAGTCCTTCGACAAATTTTCGTAATATGTAATTATTTTTTTTTAGTCCACACCTATTGGCAATTGAGTATTTGAAAAAATAATTTGTAAAAATGCACACTTTTAAGTATTTTGGTCATTGATTTTTTAAGAATCACAGACTTTTGGTATTTTTATCCTTAACCAATAAAATTTTACGGCTGTCGAGTCCTTTAAAATCAACATCCGGAAAATAGTTTGTAAAACTGCACACTTTTAAGTCATTGAATTTCGAAAAATCCAAGACTTTTGGTCTTTTAATCCTGCTTGAGATTATGTAAAATAATTTTGAGTCCATTACAAAAAATTTTAAAATATCGATAAAATAATTTTAAATTGGATGTTTCTTTAGTGGCTTATCAGTCTTTAAGTCCTTGAAGAAATAACTTATTGATCGTTGAGTCCTTGACAAAATTATTTTTCAAAATCTTCACTTATTGGATTATGAATCCTTGGAAAAATTATGTTTAGAAATGTCTTTGAGCCCTTGTGAAAATAATATTTAAAAGTCCAAGCTTTTTTTCCTTTGCGTCCTTGAAAAAATAATTTTAATAACACCTTGCTTTTGTTTATTGGGTCCTGGGAAAATATGTTCTTAATCCACGTATACTAGCCATGGAGTCCTTGAAAAAATTGAGTTGAGTCATTGAAAAAATACGAGCAACCAAACTTTGAATGCCTGAAAAAATATAGAGTTCACTATTTTTGGGCTTTGAGGCCTCGAATTAAAAATTTCCATATGCACACTTATTGGGTTTTGAGTCCTTGAATAAATAAATTAAAAATCTTACTGAATCATTGACAAGCTTATTGACGTTTAAGTTATTGGAAATGTTGTTTGTAAAAACAACATTTCCATATTGACCATTGAACCCTTCAAAATTTTTGTTTTTAAAAATCAGAGTATATTGGCCTTTATGTCCTTAAAAAATCGTAAAAAAGCCCTCTGAGTCTTTGAAAAGTAAGTTGGAGTCCTTAGAAAAATAATTTAAAAAATCAGCACTTTTTGGTCTTTCAGTACTTGAAGCAATGAACTCCTAATTTATTGGTCTAATAGTCGTTGACAAAAATATCCTTAAAAGTCCTTGAATAAAAAATAATCTTCAAAAACACTTACAAATAAATAAAACAGTCATCATATTTTGCTTTAATGGTCCTTCAGGAAGAATCGCATCAACAAAAAAAAAACGTCCTTTGAGAAATTCTTTTCAAAATCAAAAAATAGTTATTGGTCTAATGGACCTTAGGAAAAATATTCTTAAAAAATCCTAGTTTGCAAAAACAAAATTTCTTTCATAAATCTTAAACAGTTTTTTTCAAAAATCCTCATTGTTTAATAGTCCTTAGAAAGAATTCTCTTAGTAAGAATACTCATTTAGTGTTCAAACAGTCCATGAATAAATATCCTTACAAATTTCTTAATTATCGGTCTGATTCTTTTAAAAATCCTCTGTCACTGGGTCCTTGGAAAATTATTATTTATTATTATCTTATTAGTCCTTGGAAAAAATTATTTTTATAAATCCTCATTGATTTTTTTAATAGTCCTTGGAAAGAATTATCTTAGTGTCCAAACAGTCATTGAATTAATATCCTTGCAAAATCCTTATTTATCAGTCAGATTGTCCTCAGAAAAATATTCTTTTAAAAATCCTCTTTCACTGGGTTCTTGGAAAATTATTTTTTAAAATTCTTATTTAAGGGAACCCCCCCCCCCCATTCTCGATTTTATTTTTTCAAGATTTCCAATGGGTTGGTAAATCAATACCAATGCTTGTTAAGGTTTGTAACTTTGCACATATATATTTGAAGATTTAAAAGAGAAGAAAATTAATTTACAAAAAATGTTTGTTATTGTTTTGTTGTTGTTTTTTGTAATTAAAGAAAAGTCCTTATTTTTGATGGCGGGCATGATAACTCCTCACTGGAACATCGGAATCCGAAAATTCCAACGGTGTTAGAAAGAGTACATGTCTGACTCTCGTATGAACTAGGATTATTGACTTCGCTCTAAAATTAAGAAAATGGTGGCCCTTTGAAAATATATTTTTGAAAAATCGCGGATTTTTTACCAAAAACCAAGTTAAAAAATAAGGAAGATCTTCACCGATTGGCTTTATCCTAGTTCATACGAGAGCTATACACTCCCAGAGAAACGTTGCAAAATTTGAAACCGATTGGATTATTAGTTTTTGAGTTATCGTGCCCGCCATTCGCAAAAAAATGTTTAGAGAAAAACGCGTTTAAAGTTTGAGAAGCCCTTCAGCCGTCACTTGATGCTGACACAATAAATCGGATATATCTTCAACAGTTCTTGAGATTTTCACTTGAAATTTTGTAGAGACATTCTTTAATCAGTGTAGATTCGAATTATATCAACAAAAATTTTGACCCCGAGAATGGGGGGGGGGGTCCTCTTAAAAAAAAACATGTCTTTGAAAATTCCTTTTAAAAAATGTTAATATTCAAGTCTTGAAAAAAAACACGAATTATTGGTCCAATGGTTCTTTAAAAATATTCATAAAAATCCTCATATTATTAATCTACTAATTTTGGTAAAATATTATTAATCCTTATTTATTGAAATCTTTAAAATCAAAATATATCAAAAATATTTGGCCCTTAAAAAATATATATGTACCCCCAAAAATCTTCTAAAAATCCACCCATTTTTGGTACTTGAAAATTATCCCCTGCGAAATGATTTTTTATAAGAAATAATGCTTATTTGCTCCTTGAAAAAAATCATTTGAGAAAATATTCATTAAAAGAAATTACGCTTTTTTGTTCCTTCAACAATATCCTTTGAAAAAATATTCTTTAAAAATCCACGCTTATTTGGTACTTTGGGAATACTATTCTTAACAAAAGTCCACGTTAATTCGGGAATTAAAAAAACATTCACTACAAAATTCGACGCTAATTTAAAAACTATTCTTTAAAAAATTCCCCTTATTGGTCCTTGTAAATAATCCGCCCCATGTTGGTTCTGTGAAAACTATTCTCTGAAAAGTCCAGGCCTATTTGGTTTATGAAAATAATATTCTTTAAAAATACACCTTTAATTAGGCCTATTATTTAAAAATTCAAATTAATGCCATGCTTGAAAAATAGCTATTAGTTAAAAATCCATGCCAATTTGGTCATTGAACCATTTATTAATTAAAAATCCAGGTTTATTTGGTCCTTCGAACAAAATATTCTTTAAAAATCCAAGCCTTGTTAGTCCTAGGAAAAACTATTTTTTAAAAGATCCACACCTTTTTACATATAATTGCTCGTTTGTACAATATAATACTTTAAAACTGCGCACCTATTAGTCCTTGTAAAATTATTTTTAAACAATACTGACTTATTTGGTTGGTGTCATTTTAATTATTTAAACAATCTACGCTTATTTGGTCCTTGGAAAAACTTATTTATAAAAACCCAAGACTTGTTAGTCCTTTGAAAAATATTCTTTGAAAATTCATGCATATTTGGTACTAGGAAAAATTATTCTTTAATCCATGCATTTTTGATCCTTAGCAAATTTATTAGTCCTTGAAAATTATATTTTTCAAATTCTTTGTAAACTAGTGTTAATATTACAAACCCACATTTCTTTTATCAGAAATCGACATCAAAAGTTCATTAGTGTCATTTGTAGTGCAATCAAACGTCCTTTTTTATTACGTTGAATTGAAATACTAATGTAGACACATACGATATACATATGTGTTGGTATGTCTGTCTGTCTGTGTGTCAAATTATAGGTCTAGGACAAATAACAACAAAAACATATGAATGATTACTACTCAACCACCGAATGAATATTTAATCAATATATTAACAAATTATTAATACGATACACAACAACAACAAATAAAAAAACAACGCAATAAACAACAATAAAAACAGAACAACGCTTTAAAAATAAACGAAACAACAAAAATCACAGTAACAACAATAAATAACAAAACTACAAAAAAATAAAAAAACACATATAAACTAAATTACAAAATTATACTCAGGGATATCCAACAAAAAAACTAATCATCATCTAAAAAACAACAACACAATATCCGTCCATCCACAACAACAACTAACAAAGCCTGAAGGAAAAAGAAATACATACAGGAAAAAAGAAAGCCACTACAAAAAAGGCAAAACTATACAGTTAACACTTGGCCCTAAAATAAAGGATAGAAAAAAAAAACTGGAAATAAATGGCCAAAAAAAGTAGTGAAAACAAAACACAGCTAAATGTTCTAACCATTTAATTATAGCCCCCCCCGAGCATATAACGAAATGTTTGGGTCTAACAACAAACAAACAAACCAACCAACAAACAAACGAGCAAACATAGAAAACGATTTAGTTAAATAAACAACAAAACAATTTTCCCCCGCGCCAGAAAGGATGAGAAATGTAACAAATTTAGCTGCAAGGACAACAGTGAACAGAACGACGGACCATGGCAAAAATTAAAGTGCGCACGCGTTAAGGAAAAATTCCTTCAATTCCATTGACAATTTTTGTTAAGTGTGTCCCACCCCGCAATTTGTTAGGGTGCTGGGAGGTTTACTCTCCCTCTCTTTGCGTCACGCTCCCCCAAAATTTGTGACGTGAAATTAGTTTGTGTTTTCTGTGTTTGAAGGCGTCCCCGAAAAAAACTTTCAAAATTTTCTCCTCACACACAAAGTTAATGTGCGACAGCACATCCACTGGCTGTTTTCTAAGCAGAAACAGTGGCCGCAAGGTAAGTTCAAGATGGTTACACCTAGAGATTATTATCTTTAGAAGAGAGAGAGAGAGGAAGATAATATCTAGAGTAATTTGGAGGCGAAAGGATGTGCCCAGTGGGTTGATTAGAAGAATATTTGTTTGTCATGAGTGGAAATATAGTTTGTAAAAATATATATTTGTTATAAAAAACCAACTAAAAACCTTAAAAAATGCTGCTTTATTTATCCTCTTTAATTTTAGGTTTAATAGTCTTTGGGAATATATTCTTTAAAAATCAAAAAAACATCACAACACATGTTGTGATGTTAGGCTTGTAATTGTAGCCTATATATTAAATCGAAAAAAAAAAACACAAAATAATAATTTTTCGGTCCACTTCATCCCAAAATTATTATCTGATCATCACCAAAATTATAGGCTTTGTACTTGACCATAACTGGAACCTCATGGAACATAGCGATCAGCTCTGTAATTTCGCCATGTAGTATGGAGAAGGGGATTGGGCTAAACAATAAGCATGCCTGCTTTGATAAAGATCGGCCAATATTGTTTATCTCAATCTCCTTCTCCATGTAAAAATATCGAGATGTTCGGGCCATAATTGCGGCCTCTGGAGCGACCAGAAAAACCGATAAAAATTAAGTATTTGGTCCATTTCAAAAGGTGGGTCTAGGACCAATATTTCGCGGCGTTACAAACTCTGGGGGCTGCAAAAAGCTATAATACCCAGACAACATAGTTGTGTATGGTATAAAAATAATTTAAGTGTTTTTTTACTTGACAAACATTCAAAAATAATCCTGTTTTATTTGTCTAATAATCCATGGAAAAATATTAAAAACTATTTTTAGTCCTTGTAATAATAATGTTTGGGTCCATAAAAAACATGCACATTTGATCCTTCCAAAACTAATTCTTTAACAAAAAGTCCACGGCTATTTGGTCTTCGGAAAAATCATTGTGTATTCCATGAGAAAATAATTCGTTTGTCCTTAGATTCATATACAAATGAATTTAATGATCAAATATTTGGTCCTGGGAAGAATAATATTTTTCTCCTGGACAAAATAATTATTTGCTCTTTAGAAATATAATTTGTTGGACCTAGAATTCTCCACGCCAATGTTCCCGGGAAAAAATGCTAGTCTCTTAAAAAATGTTTAGGTCCTAGGGCTGGTAAGAAAATGTTAGTCCTTGGAAAATAATTATACCCTTCACCACAGGAATTATGTCTTTGTGCATATGTTTGTAACAGGCAAAAGGAAACGAGATAGACACATGGATCCTTTTGAGAATATGCATAGAATCTCTTTTTGAGTCGATTTACGCATGTCCGTCTGTCCGTCCATGTATTTTTGTGAACAAAGTACAGGTCGCATTTATGATCCGATTTGGATGAAATTTGGCATAGGTCACTTATTTGGCCCAAGGACGAACCCTATTGAAATTGGGAAAAATCGGTTCAGATTTAGATATAGCTTCCATATATATTTTCGTCCGATTTAATGTAAATGGTGCACCAAAGACCCTTTATATATTTCGATTTGCACGAAATTTGGCACAGCGTAATGAATGATGTGTGCTAAGTTTCATTAAAATCGGTTCAGATTTAGAAATAGCTCCCATATATAGTTTCGTCCGATTTTATGTAAAGTCCCTATATATCATTCGATTTGCACGAAATTTAGCATATCGTATGCAATTAAGTCCAGAATGATGTGTGCTAAGTTTCGTAAAAATCGGTTCAGATTTAGATATAGCTCCCATATATAGTTTCGTCCGATTTTACGTAAATGGTGCACCAAAGTCCCTATATATCATTCGATTTGCACGAAATTTGACAGAGCGTTCTTTATTAGGTGCAGAATGATGTGCGCTGAGTTTAGTGAAAATCGGTTCAGATCTAGATATAGCTCCCATATATATTTTCGTCCGATTAAATATAAATGGTGCACCAAAGTCCCTATATATCTTTCGATTTGCACGAAATTTAGCATATTCAATTAAGTCTAGAATGATGTGTGCTAAGTTTCGTGAAAATCGGTTCAGATTTAGTTATAGCTCCCATATATATTTTCGTCCAATTTAAGGTAAATGGTGTACCAAAGTCCCTTAATATCTTTCGGTTTGCACGAAATTTGGCACAGCGTAATGAATTAGGTCTAGAATGGTGTGTGTTAAATTTCCTGAAATAGTTGAAATCGGTTCTGATTTAGATATAGCTTCTATATCTTACCAAATGAAAAAATTAGGATAGGTTGCAGAATGACATGTTTATGGATCCAATTTCATTTTGATGGTCCTTTTAAAATGCGACGTTTGTTAGGATTCATCTGTTGAATATACCCAAAGTGGTGAAGGGTATCATATAGTCGGCCCCGTCCGACTTTACTACTTTCCTTACTGGTTTTTTTTTGATCCTATGATTCTTAAAAAATTCCACCCCTATTTTCTCCTGAAAAAAAATCATTGCATAGACAAATAATTGTTTAGTCCTAATTGTTTAGTCATAGTCCTAAAGGAAACTCCACGCCTATTTGGTCCTAGGAAAAGCATTTTTAGTCCTTTGAAAAATAATTGTGGTGTTTTGGATTGTTAAAACAACTCTACGCCTATTTGGTGCTGTGAAAAATAATTTTTCAGTTCTTAGGAAAAATCAATTTTTGGGTCTTGAATTCTTAATTCACGTCTATGTGGTCCTTTGGAAAAATTCTTCTTCTTTAGAAATCCACGTCTATTTGGTCCTTTGGAAAAGTTCCTACTCTTTAGAAATCCACGCCTATTTGGATCTTTGGAAAAATTATTCTAGAAAAAAATATTTTTTGAGTAATTTTTTAAACTCCAATTCCAATAGAGAGGGCTTGCAAAAAAATTGTTTTAGTGACCTATTTTATTGGTCTAAAATTCTTGAAAAAGAAAAATATTAAAAAATGCACGCTTCTTTATCCTTGGAAACATTATTCCATTGTCATGGGAGAAACTATACATAGGTCCTTTCAAAACTAGTTATTTAGAAATTTAAAACTGGTCCTTGGAAAAATTATTCTTTAAAAAATCCAACCTTATTTGGTCCTTTGAATCATTATTAAAATAACCCACGCCTATTTGGTCTTTGGAAAAATGTTCTAAGGTGCTTTTAAAATAAATTTTAAAAAAATCGACGCTTATGTAGTCCTTGGGAAAATAGTTCTTTGGTCCTTCGAATAATTATTATTTAAACAATCCTTGGACCTTCTAAAAATTATTCTTTGGTACTTCGAAAAATTGTTATTTAAACTATTATTGGTCCTTTGAAAACATTATTATTTGGTCCTTCGAAAAGGTATTACTTAAACATTTCTTGGTCCTTCGAAAATATATTATTTAAACAATTATTGGTTTTTGGAAAACATATTACATGGTCCTTTGGGAAAATCTTGATTTAAAAGACCTACGAATTTATTAGTGCCTGAAAAGAATATTTTTATCAAATTCCACGCCCTTGAAATTTCTACTTTAAAAAATCTCCGCTCCTATTAGTCCTGGAAACTTGCCTGATTGGGTCCTTGAAAAATTCGACATTAACTCACGCTCATATTTGATTGAGTTAATGTCCCTGCCCTTGGAAAATTCTGCTTCAAAATATCCACTTGTCTATTAGTCTTTTAAAAAATTCCACTTTAAGAAATCCACTCTTACATGATCCTTGGAAATTCTATTTAATATAATCCTTGAGTTTTTTTCTTAAAACATGCACGCTCACTTAGCGAATAGTTCTTAGAATTTTTCTCAAATTTTAAATGTTCATGAATGAATTTTTTATTTTATCGCTTCATTGATTTGCTTTTTCATTCTTGAAATTATTAAAAATCCTACATTAAGACCTTGAACAATGATTACTTAGAACTTGCAAATGTCATGTCAACATTTTTTCCAAAATGCCAGACGATTACAATGGACTTACACACCACACACACACTTGTTGTTAGTGTTGTTGCAAATCTCCTTGTTGCAAAAAATAAAATAAAAAATAGAAACACGCTAAAGCAATTCCGCCCCATTTTTCCAGGAATTTAAGAAAATACGAAATTCTTTGTGCAACGATATTGGAGTTGGGATTATTGGGAAGTGAGTTCGGGTAGGTGTACGGATGTGTGTGTGTGGGCTGATGTATGGTAAATAATGTATGACATTTTTGTAAATCCAAAGTAATACAAACACGCAACAACAAAACGAAGTAAAGAGCAGGTGACTCATAACAACGGCAATGGGGAAAAAAGTAAAAATAGGAAAAGCTAACAAGAACAACAACAACAAATAATAAAACAAAGAACCAATCAAATATTCATACATACATTTTAGTCAAGTGTAAGCATGGCGATGACAATGTCTGCCAGTGATGATGACGTGTGAGTGCTGTTACCTTATCTTGACAGACAATGAATTAATGATAGCCACAAAGTCTAGCCGTTGTGAGAGTCGTAACGATGGAGAATATACAATTTCATACGAAGATATCTGGGGTCCTGGAAAATTGTATTCCTTAGGAATCCACGCCTTTTTGGACCTTGGAAAACTTTTTCTTTATAAATTCACCCATCTTTGGTCGTTGGAAAAATAAGCCTTAGAATTTCACGCCTCTTTGGTCCTTGGACAAATTATTCTTTACAAATTCACGCCTTTTGGGCCTTGAAAAAAATTATCCTTAGGAACGCATGTTTGGTCCTTGGAATTCACGCCTTTTTTGTCCTTGGAAAAATTATTCCTTAGGAATCCACGCCTTTTTCGCTCTTGGAAAAATTATTCCTTAGGAATCCACGCCTTTTTCGCCCTTGGAAAAATTATTCCTTAGGAATCCACACCTTTTTTGTCCTTGGAAAAATTATTCCTTAGGAATCCACGCCTTTTTCGCTCTTGGAAAAATTATTCCTTAGGAATCCACGCCTTTTTCGCCCTTGGAAAAATTATTCCTTAGGAATCCACACCTTTTTTGTCCTTGGAAAAATTATTCCTTAGGAATCCACGCCTTTTTTGTCCTTGGAAAAATTATTCCTTATCCATCCACACCGTTTTTGTCCTTGGAAAAATTATTCCTTATCCATCCACGCCTTTTTTGTCCTTTGAAAAATTATTTCTTAGGAATCCACGCCTTTTTTGTCCTTGAAAAAATTATTCCTTAGGAATCCACGCCTTTTTTGTCCTTGAAAAAATTATTCCTTAGGAATCCACGCCTTTTTTGTCCTTGAAAAAATTATTCCTTAGGAATCCACGCCTGATTTGGTCCTTGTTAAGGCCTGGAAAATTTTTCTAAAAAATACACGCCTTCTTGAGGCCTTGAAAAATATTCTTTAAAAAAACACACGCCTGATTTGGTCCTTGTTAAGGCCTGGAAAATATCCTTAAAAAAAGCCACGCCTTCTTGAAGCCTTGAAAAAATATTCCTAAAAAAAGCCACGCCTTCTTGAGGTCTTGAAAAATATTTTTAAAAAAAGCCACGCCTTCTTGAGGCCTTGAAAACATATTCTTAAAAAAAACCACGCCTTCTTGAGGCATTGAAAAAATATTCTTTAAAAAACCCACTCCTGATTTGGTCCTTGTTAAGGCCTGGAAAATATTCTTAAAAAAGCCACGCCTTCTTGAGGCCTTGAAAAATATTCTTAAAAAAAGCCACGCCTTCTTGAGGCCTTGAAAAAATATTCTTAAAAAAAACCACGCCTTCTTGAGGCATTGAAAAAATATTCTTTAAAAAACCCACTCCTGATTTGGTCCTTGTTAAGGCCTGGAAAAAATATTCTTTAAAAAACCCACTCCTGATTTGGTCCTTGTTAAGGCCTGGAAAATATTCTTAAAAAAGCAACGCCTTCTTGAGGCCTTGAAAAAATATTCTTTAAAAAAATCCACGCCTTCTTAAGGTCTTGAAAAAATATTCTTAAAAAAACCACGCCTTCTTAAGGTCTTAAAAAAATATTCTTAAAAAAGCCACGCCTTCTTGAGGCCTTGAAAAATATTCTTAAAAAAAGCCACGCCTTCTTGAGGCCTTGAAAAAATATTCTTAAAAAAAACCACGCCTTCTTGAGGCATTGAAAAAATATTCTTTAAAAAACCCACTCCTGATTTGGTCCTTGTTAAGGCCTGGAAAAAATATTCTTTAAAAAACCCACTCCTGATTTGGTCCTTGTTAAGGCCTGGAAAATATTCTTAAAAAAGCAACGCCTTCTTGAGGCCTTGAAAAAATATTCTTTAAAAAAATCCACGCCTTCTTAAGGTCTTGAAAAAATATTCTTAAAAAACCACGCCTTCTTAAGGTCTTAAAAAAATATTCTTAAAAAAGCCACGCCTTCTTGAGGCCTTGAAAAATATTCTTAAAAAAGCCACGCCTTCTTGAGACCTTGAAAAAATATTCTTAAAACAAGCCACGCCTTCTTGAGGCCTTGAAAAAATATTCTTAAAAAAGCCACGCCTTCTTGAGGCCTTGAAAAATATTCTTAAAAAAGCCACGCCTTCTTGAGGCCTTGAAAAATATTCTTTAAAAAAATCCACGCCTTCTTAAGGTCTTGAAAAAATATACTTAAAAGCCTTCTTGAGGCCTTGAAAAAATATTCTTTAAAAAAATCCACGCCTTCTTATGGTCTTGAAAATTATTCTTTAAAAATGTTTTAAGGCTTGAAAAATTAATCTTTAAAAACTCCACGCCTTGTTTTAGGACTTGAAAAATCAGTCTTTAAAAATCCTCGCCTTTTTAAGGCTTTGAGAAAATATTATCCTTAGGCCTTGAAAAATTAGTTCTTGAAAATTTTCCTTATTTCAATATTTTTGTTTTTGGTATTTTTTTCCAGGAAAATGGAAGATCAGTTCCTGATGTTACGGCAAGCCCGGGCCGTGCGCCGCCCGGACCATTGCCATCAAATCAAATGCAAACGATGGTTAATCAACAGCAGCAGCAACAACAACATCAACAACAGCAGCAGCAACATCATCATCAGCAACAACAACAATCACAGCATCAGCAACATCATCAACAGCGACAGGGTGGATCAAAAGAACCCGTCCTATTGCAGGGTGATTTCCGGAAGGTCTCAGGTATTAGTTCCGAAATCTTCCGACAGATAGAAGCTGTCGAAAATGATCATGATCCGAATACAGCGGCCGCCTTGGAGGTAAGTTCCGCACCCAATAGAAATAATTGAACCAAAATTACAACAGATTTTTCTAGGCGGTCGAGAGACGAGGTGAAATGATAGTGCGCATCTTGGAGCCGCACAGTATTGGCGGTAAACAGGCCGTAGATGCAGCCCATAAATTATTGGCCAAGAAAGATAATCGACATATAGTACAGGTGCGATAGATTTCATGGAACACCTTTTATGGATTTTTATATTAATTCCCCTTCCTCCCTCCTTCTTGCAGTTGGTGGAAATCGTTAAGAGACCCGGTCAAACCTTAGGTTTATATATACGCGAAGGAAATGGTGCCGATCGTACCGATGGTGTATTCATTTCACGGATTGCCATCGAATCTGCAGTGTCGAATAGTGGATGCCTGAAGGTAGGGTTCCTATTACTCCTCATCTTTTTCTATGAGTGTTTAAATGTTTTTCTTCTTCTCCCTCCAGGTGGGCGATGAAATCCTTGCCGTGAATTTAGTCGATGTCACCCACATGTCCCTGGACGACGTTGTCATAATAATGTCAATTCCACGACGCCTGGTCTTGGCCATACGACAACGTTGCGGTAATCGTGGCACCGGCTCACCAGGCCCGCCCTCCATGTCACGACCCGAACAGAAACCACCACCGGTTGTTGTCATGAAACGTGACCTGCGCGACGAGGAGCTCGACGAGACTGATCACATGTCAAGATCCCGTTCATCACGCGAAAGACGTACAGGTATTTGATATTGTTGCTTGGTTGTGATATATTAAGGTTGGTCTTTTTCTCGTTTCTTTTCGTCGTGTAGGAGATGGTCGTGAAATGTCCGAATCACGCTCGCGACTCGGTCTGGGTCTGAACAACTATAGTCCGCAATCGGAACAGCTGGATATGTACTATAATACCCGTCCGGGTATGGAACCACCTAATTGGGGCTATAAACCACCACCACCGCCATCATCAGTCATTACGGAACAGCCCAAGGGTCATCAGTTTGCTCCATCACATGCGTACTACAAGAATGCCGGAACGTTGGAGAGTCTGGCGGAAAAGGTACATTCCTTCTATCCGGGAGCTCCGCCTTCTCGTCGCCTGTCAGTGGGTAATGTACCGCAACGGGCCCGCTTCCCACGTTCCGGATCGGATCAGCATTTGCCTCGCGTTGAATATGCCGATTATTCGAATTCTCTGGGTCGTCATTCGTTGTTGCGGCCAAGCCTCAAGCCTAGCGGTGGCTCCGTAATTATGGGTCCTGGTGGCACTCTGGGTCGCTATGGACGCTACGATCCTCATTCAAATGCCAAATATGGACCGAGTGGTACTCAGTCTTTGACTCGACGTTCAAGACCCAATTTGGATTATTCCAGTGATACAGAAGCTACCGTTGGACCACGGCCCAATTATTACTACTACAATCGCCCTGCAATTGGTAGTATGCCACGAGGTGCAGGAGCACCTGGTGGAGCCTCCGTGCTGGGTGGAGGGCCAGATATGGCCAAATTTAATTCACTGCCAAGAGATCGGCCCGGTGTACGATTGCCGGGTATACGTTCACGTATTAGCGATCGCATAATGGATGAAAGCGATGGTAATATTTCGGCACCCGAATTTAATGCTCGGCGGGATCGTGATCTGAGATCGCGGATCACAGCCAGTCCTCAGTCGATATTTACATCGGATGAATATCGGGCATGGCTGCGGAGGGCACCCAGCAGTTCAGCCATTGCCGAGCAAATGCGTATGACAAGAGATCTGCTGAATCAGCCAAGGTCCCATCGGTTCTCCTGCAGTGCTGAGAATATTCACGATGCTCTGAGAAATGTGAGTCCTGAAATTTTCTCCCTCTAACCTCATTTTCTAAATTTTCTTTTCCCCACAGACCGAAAGCATTTACTCCAGTCGAACGGGCATCCTCGGCACCGGCACCTTGGATCGCCACTTGGGCATGCCTCGACCCATCTCATCACTGCCTGTGCGTTCCATGTCATCCCAGCACATAGGTGGCCCCAACTCTATACGTTCGCCCAGCATTCGTCGCATGCGTCAACTACTCGAACTTTCCGCTGGCCCAGCCAGTCCCAGCGGCAGCATCATGAGCACCGGTGGCCATCAAAGTCCTGCGCCAACACCCAGTGCCACACTGCCGAGACCACATCGACAAATCGACATCAATCCCGCAGAGTTCAGCAAATATAAACTGGACAAACCCATCGTTGATATAGGCGGTGTATCGGGTATGTTGTGGATTCACCTGTTAGCGGGCCGTGGCCTACGTTCGGCACCCGAACTAGGACCACAGCACGGTGCAGGAGGACAGCATCTACCGGCGCCCACACGTGATCTATACTGTGTGATAGAATGCGATCGGGTACATAAGGCGCGAACTGTGGTACGCTCCGGCGACCTGCAATTCGATTGGGATGAATCGTTCGAATTGGACTTGGTGGGCAATAAGCAATTGGATGTTTTAGTTTATTCATGGGATCCACAACATCGGCATAAGCTATGCTATCGTGGAGCCATTTCGTTGTCAACGATACTGCGCCAGTCGCCATTACATCAGCTGGCCCTCAAGGTGGAACCTCGTGGCACGATTTATATTCGTATGCGTCACACAGATCCCATTGCTCTGTATAAACGTCGTGGTTTACCCAGTCTCAGGGCTGGTTATCCCACATTGTTCGGTGCTGATCTTGAGACTGTGGTGAATCGTGAATCAAAGGGTGCCCCAGGCTGTGCTCCAGTTCCGATAGTTTTGCGCCGCTGTGTCGAAGAGGTGGAGCGTCGTGGTCTTGATATAATCGGTTTGTATCGCCTGTGCGGTTCGGCCACAAAGAAACGCTTGCTGCGTGAGGCGTTTGAACGAAATAGTCGTGCTGTGGAATTGACTCCAGAACATGTTCCTGATATCAATGTCATCACTGGTGTGCTGAAAGACTATCTAAGAGAATTGCCAGAACCGTTGTTTACGCGATGTCTCTTCCAGATGACAGTCGATGCATTGGGTGAGTAGTGTAACCTAAAATTGGGCTTTAAAACTATGGTTAACAAAATTTGGGAAAAATTATGGACCTTGAAAAAATATTCTTTAAAAGATCCAGGCCTTTTATGGACCTTGAAAAAATATTATTTAAAAGATCCACGCCTCTTATGGACCTTGAAAAAATATTCTTTAAAACATCCACGCCTTTTATGGACCTTGAAAAAATATTATTTAAAAGATCCACGCCTCTTATGGACCTTGAAAAAATATTCTTTAAAAGATCCACGCCTTGTAATGGTCCTTGAAAAAATATTATTTAAAAGATCCACGCCTGGTAATGTTGCTTGAAAAATATTATTTAAAAGATCCACGCCTGGAAATGTCCTTGAAAAAATATTCTTTAAAAGATCCACGCCTCTTATTGACCTTGAAAAAATATTCTTTAAAAGATCCACGCCTCTTATGGACCTTGAAAAAATATTCTTTAAAAGATCCACGCCTCTTATGAACCTTGAAAAAATATTCTTTAAAACATCCACGCCTTTTATGGACCTTGAAAAAATATTATTTAAAAGATCCACGCCTCTTATGGACCTTGAAAAAATATTCTTTAAAAGATCCACGCCTTTTATGGACCTTGAAAAAATATTATTTAAAAGATCCACGCCTCTTATGGACCTTGAAAAAATATTCTTTAAAAGATCCACGCCTCTTATGGACCTTGAAAAAATATTCTTTAAAAGATCCACGCCTCTTATGGACCTTGAAAAAATATTCTTTAAAAGATCCACGCCTCTTATGGACCTTGAAAAAATATTCTTTAAAAGATCCACGCCTCTTATGGACCTTGAAAAAATATTCTTTAAAAGATCCACGCCTCTTATGGACCTTGAAAAAATATTCTTTAAAAGATCCACGCCTCTTATGGACCTTGAAAAAATATTCTTTAAAAGATCCACGCCTCTTATGGACCTTGAAAAAATATTCTTTAAAAGATCCACGCCTCTTATGGACATTGAAAAAATATTCTTTAAAAGATCCACGCCTCTTATGGACATTGAAAAATATTCTTTAAAAGATCCACGCCTCTTATGGACATTGAAAAATATTCTTTAAAAGATCCACTCCTCTTATGGACCTTGAAAAAATATTCTTTAAAAGATCCACGCCTCTTATGGACCTTGAAAAAATCTTCTTTAAAAGATCCACGCCTCTTATGGACCTTGAAAAAATCTTCTTTAAAAGATCCACGCCTCTTATGGACCTTGAAAAAATCTTCTTTAAAAGATCCACGCCTCTTATGGACCTTGAAAAAATCTTCTTTAAAAGATCCACGCCTCTTATGGACCTTGAAAAAATCTTCTTTAAAAGATTCACGCCTCTTATGGACCTTGAAAAAATCTTCTTTAAAAGATCCACGCCTCTTATGGACCTTGAAAAAATCTTCTTTAAAAGATCCACGCCTCTTATGGACCTTGAAAAAATCTTCTTTTAAAGATCCACGCCTCTTATGGACCTTGAAAAAATCTTCTTTAAAAGATCCACGCCTCTTATGGTCCTTGAAAAAATCTTCTTTAAAAGATCCACGCCTCTTATGGACCTTGAAAAAATCTTCTTTTAAAGATCCACGCCTCTTATGGACCTTGAAAAAATCTTCTTTAAAAGATCCACGCCACTTATGGACCTTGAAAAAATCTTCTTTAAAAGATCCACGCCTCTTATGGACCTTGAAAAAATCTTCTTTAAAAGATCCACGCCTCTTATGGACCTTGAAAAAATCTTCTTTAAAAGATCCACGCCTCTTATGGACCTTGAAAAAATCTTCTTTAAAAGATCCACGCCTCTTATGGACATTGAAAAAATATTCTTTAAAAGTTCCACGCCTCTCATGGACCTTGAAAAAATATTTTTTAAAAGACCCACGCCTCTTATGGACTTTGAAAAAACCTCCTTTAGAAGATCCACGCCTCTTGTGGACATTGACAAAATATTCTTTAAAAAATCAACGACTCTTAACTAAAAATTATTTTCCTTCATTTTCCAGCTGTATGTCTACCCGATGATCCCGAAGGCAATGCAAAATTAATGCTTAGCATATTGGATTGCTTACCTAGAGCAAATAGGGTAAGTGTCTTGAGACCTCTACGATATCAGATTTTGATAAAAATTTAAATTATTATTTTATTTGTCTTCCAGGCCACCCTAGTATTTCTATTGGATCACTTGTCACTGGTCGTCTCCAATTCCGAACGCAATAAGATGTCAGCTCAAGCTTTAGCCACTGTCATGGGCCCACCCCTAATGCTGCATTCTGCCAGCGCCCAACCTGGCTCTGAGATCGATCATGCCCAGCCCATTGCTGTGCTGAAATATCTCTTACAAATCTGGCCCCAACCCCAGTCGCAACATCATCAAAGTGCGCCCGGAGTCGGAGCAGGTGGCAATCTCATTAACAGCATGGCTGTGGGTGGCAGTACCATGGGCATGGGCCTCGGTATGGGTCTGGGCATGAATGCTGGCAGTATGAATAATATGCCGGGTGTTGTTTCAGGTAACGTAATTCTAGTATATTTTTTCCGATGCAAAACAAAAAGATTTTCCGTATTGTTTTCGATTTTGGTTTTTATTTTGTTGGGATCATAACCTGAATACTGTATCTTTTGGGACACATTTTGTGGCACAACAATCAAACCAAAAACAACAAAAATTGTCACTAAACAATAAAAACGGTTTCTCAAAATGCAAAATTTTATTTATTTAATTTTTTCTTAAGGGTTACTAGAACACCTCCACTACCCAAGGTTCACAAATTTTCACGTTTACACCACCACCAAAAATCCCCCTTTTAAACGAAAACTCTAACACTGTTCCGTTTCCATTTCGTTCCGTTCGTTAATTTTCCTTATTTTTTTTACCAATACAAGAAAAGAAAACTATCGTTGTATTGGTTTCTTTTGCGAGTGTGTGCATATCTTGTTTTTTTTCTATCTATCTCTCTATTTTGCTCTATAACACAAAACCCAACTATTTTTCTATCTCTCTCCTCGAAAAAAAAACATCTATGTGAAATCCATCCGCATATTTCTTTTAAGTTTCCATCTTTCATGATCTTAACTGTACTAGTTTACTTCTATGAAAATTGCAATAATATTGATTAATACAGAGTCCTATGTAGACAGGTCGGCGCGGCGAGTCAACAGGGCAGCGTGGAAGCAAAGTCAATGCGTTGCAAGTGGACAGGCAGGCGTTCCTCATGGCGCAGCAGCAGCAGCTCATGGCGGCGGGCAATCTACTACGCTCGTCCACTTCGGTAACCAACATACTTTCTCAAGGCCAACATCCGCTCTCAGCCACAGTCAACAGTCATCTGTATCAATCAGTAGTGGGTCAGTTAGCTCAATCGCATCGAGCCTTGCAACAAGCGGTGCAACAGGTAACAACAAACCAAAACCAAAACAACCAACCAAACACACAATCACATCCTATCTTCCTCTACTCCAGAATAGAAATATTCTAAACAAAAAATAATATTCTCTTAACTTCTAATTACTACAACTATTATAAATAAAATAATTTATTTATTTTATAATTGATTTACGAAAAAAAAAATAAAAGAGGAAGACAAAAAGGGGGGTTAAACCGCTACAAACTTCAAAAGCTTTGAATGTTGAAGACCATAAAAAACATCTGAAAAGGATGAACTATTATATTGGTGTAATTTATGTCTATATAATAATCAAAACAGAAGTCTAAAGATTCCCAATACAGATGCCCTTCCCAACAAAATAGGACACAATCCTGTTAACTAACAACCCCATACACAGACATAATCAACAAATGTACAGTACTTTCCTAGAATAGAGTTCAGTCGTTTTTCTGCTCCCTATAAAAAAGTTAAAATGTAAGCCGATTTGTCTCGAACAAAATTAAAGAAAAAAGCCTATTTACTCCCGAAAAAATGTAAAAAATCAGTCAGTCCTGGTCCCTAAAATATTCTGAAAAATCCAGTTATATTTGCGTAAAAAATAGAGAATACAGGCCTATAATTTTTGGAAATAAAGTTCCATTACTGGTTGCTAAAAATTAGGAAAAAATCAGGCCTATTCTTTGTGCCTGAAAATTTGTATATGTCCTCTAAAAAATATTCGGAAAAATTCACGTTGGATTCTGAAAGAAATATTCTTAAAAATATACTTGGGAAAGTTACGCTTATTAAAATATTCTTAGAAAATTCACTATTACTAACCTTGTGTCCCGGAAAAATAATAATATAAGGTGATCAATAAAAAATATACATAGAAAATCACGCTGTTAACCTCATACTCTTACAAAATCCACGATTATTTACCTAGTGGTTCCTGATATAAATATGCTTAAAAAATCCACGCTTATTGGTCCAAAAATTATTCCTTTTAGTAAAAAACCCCACGAAATAATTTTGGGAAATTTTTTTTTAATGTTTGCTTATAACTATTGAAAGAATATTAAACAAAATGCAAATATCGAATACCACGCTGGTTGGTCGAAGACTAATGAAAAAAAACTGTTGTGGATTCGAAGACCCCTGAAAATATTACTTAAAAAAATCCGAAGACACTTGAAAACTTATTTAAAACAAAATGCTTGTTGGGCCGAAGAGCCTTGAAGATATTTCTTAAAAAATCCAAAGCACTTTGAAAGCCCTTGAAAATTATTTTTTTAAATCCTCGCTTATTGGGTCGAAGAGCCTTTAAAAATCAATCATTAAAAATGTGCTTATTGGAACGAAGGTCCTTAAAAATATTATATTACAAATCCACGCTTCTAAAAATATTCTCTAACAAATCAACGCTTCTGGGCTCGAAGGTCTTAGATATTTTTTTTTCTTAATAAACGCACGGTAACTAATACGAAGATCCTTGAAAATATTATTCTTTAAAATCCATGCATTCTCAATACCTTAAAAAAGTATTTAAAAAAAAACCCTTAAAAATCCGAATTTCTTGTTCCAAATGCCTTTAAAAATCCACACTTCATGTTCCTAAGGTCATTAAAATCCATTTTCTGGGTTTGGAGGTTCTTAAAAATTATTCATTAGAACATAAGCCATGATTGGTTCTAAGGCCCGTATTTTTTAACCCATGCTTATTGGCCTGTTTGACCTTAGAAAAAATCTTAAAAAACAGGGATATTACCTAGACTGCCACTAAAAAAATAGGCTTATTGAGCTTATGACCTCTAAAAAATGTACCTAGAACTTCTGAAAAAATTGCGAGACCTTCTAAATATTAATTTTAAAAATAGCCCATATGATATGAAGGATCGAGTCTATAATAGGATCACGTTCAGAAATACCCTCAAAAATATTCTTAATAAAAATTCACAATCATAATGACCCTTATAAAAAATCTTAATAAAAACCCATGTCCTGATCACCCTTGAATGTATTTATATATAAAGTTAAGAAATAAGATGGGCTGATGGTCCCTAAGATTTGATAGTCTTAGAAGCACATACTTAGCTGGCTTAAAAAAGATTTCCAGGCGCGTCGGTCTTTTGCGCAGTTTTTCCAATTTAAAAGAATATACTCGGCAATGTTGTCTTCCACTTGGTCTTTCCATGTTATTCGTAGCCTTCCCCTTCTGCGTGAACTATCTGCTGGTTCGCTTTTATATGCTTTCTGGGCTGGGGCATCTTCATGCATTCTTACAACATGACCTAGCCAACGTTGTCGCTGCAGCTCAATACGTTTAACAATGTCGATGTCCGAGAATAGCTGGTACAACTCATGGTTCATTCGACTGCGATATTCACCGTTTAACAATGTCGATGTCCGAGAATAGCTGGTACAACTCATGGTTCATTCGACTGCGATATTCACCGTCAACGCAGATCGGCCCATAGATCTTTCGGAGAATTTTTCTTTCAAACACTCCAAGAGCTGCCTCATCAGCTTGCGAAAGTATCCATCCATATATCCTATCCATATATCCTATCCATATATGGATCTGAAGCCATATAACAGCACGGGTAGTCTCAGAGTCTTGTAGAGTGTGAGTTTAGTCTGGCGGGAGGTGGCCTTGCTTTTGAGTTGTTTGCTCAGACCATAGTAGCATCGGTTGGCCATCACTATTCTTCTCCGAATTTCAAAACTGATGTCATTCGTTTTATTTATGGCGGTACAAAGGTATATAAAATCTTTGAATACCTCGAAGCTGTAGTTCTCAAGTTCCACAGTTGGTCCGAGTCTACTGGACGTCTTGCGCGTTGATACCATCAGCTTGGTCTTCTCGCCGTTTACTGCCAGACCCACTTCGGCGGACTCCTTCTCAACTCCTTCCCATTATGTCGATGTCATCGGCATCAGTCTTAGAAATTGATTAAAATTAGTTCCGGAGCTCCTGGAAAAAATGGCTAAAAAATTGCACTATGGTCGGAAACCAATCTAAAAATTAATTTTAAAATTATCCCATATGTTCGGAAAAATCCAACTTAACTTACGTAAAAATATTCTTAATAAAAATTTACCCACAGATTGACCCTTAGAAATATTCTTAATAAAAAATCCAAGCGAAAAATTACCATCTAAAATTTCAAAACATGAACCTACATCGAAAATCTTTAGTAAACATGTTTTCCACTCTAGGAGAACTCTAAATATCAAAATGCGAAGACCTTTGAATCCATACACCATTGAATAATCCACCTTCCGAAAGCCTCTGATTTGTTTAAATCCAATGACCCTTTAAAACTATTTAAAAATCCAAGTTTATTTGTCCGTAGTTGCCCTGAATAAGAAATTATATCCATATTATCCAACTACAGTCACTTCAGGAAAATGACCTAAAACACCGAAAATGGGGCGGAACCTGAATATGAGGACTTGGGCAAGCAAATTGAACATGCTTCGAAATATTCCTCCACCCTCACTCTCTGTGAACCCATAATACTAAACTGTAGTCACTTTAGAGAGAGAATGAAGCCAAAACATACTGAAAATGGGGCAAGAGCTTTATGTGGGCGGAAGTTCCCCCTAAAATTACATTTATAAAATCCGGTCATATTGATTCGAAGGTTATTCTAATTCTTTCTAAATGCTTCAGGAAAACCCTCTATTTTTATTAAAAGGTCTTTGAAAATTTAATTTAAAAAAGTCCACGCATTTTGGGTCTTAAAATATCTACGTCTATTAGATCCGTGAAAAATTATCCTAGAAAAATGCTTTTTATTAAGGACATTGTCCTTTTGTGAAAATTTACTATAAATAATATTGTTCTATTTGTGGAAAGTACTGTACAACACATTTTTGTTTCCCCAACAAATTTCCCCACCTCAGAGAAAACTACCTGTTGACCGTATAAAAAAATAATAATAATAACCTAAATGTTGCTTTAAGTGATTAACAACAAATATTGAAAATAATTATAACGCAAATGAAAAAAAAAAATATTGAAACTTTTTCTAATATAACGAATATTTAAAATAATGAAAAAACTGAAGCAATTGTTGATGTGATGTGATGTAAACTAACTGCAAATCGGATGTAAGCATGATTGGCCCACTACTGGTAAACTTGTTGAAACAAATCAATCAAACAATCAAAAATACACATTAGCATTAGTATTCTTTTTAAAACCAATCAGCAAACAAATCAACTATCCAAAAAATCATTCCAAACAGCTACTCAAAATCATGCTAAAACCAAAATAAACGCAACCATTTTACCATTTAAATCATCCAAAAACAAAAACCAAGCCAAAAATCAGACCAAACCAAACATCTCCACAAAAACTCATATCGATCAGACATCGATGTAAATGCTTCAAATCCTTTTTGTATATACATAAATATAATCGTACAGTACACCATATATATGTATGTGTCTAGTCTCCAGCGTTATGCGTTTTAATGTTTTTATTGAATATCACCAAAATGAAGATAAAGAAGAAAGATGAAGAGAACGCATGTTTTACAACGTTTTCTTTAATGAACACCAAATACCCAAAACCCAACCGAATACACACATCCATTTTGAACATCAAAATTTCGAAATTATTTCAAACACAAAATCATTTTCAAGTAGTTGTAGAGTCATAACCCAAAAAAATTCCATAAAAGAAAATTAGTTTGAAAATTTGCAATAAAAATTAAATTTTTTGAAAATTTAAATTTTTGTGAAAATTTACTATAAATAGTAAATTTTGTGAAAATTTACTATAAATAGTAAATTTTGTGAAAATTTACTATAAATAGTAAATTTTGTGAAAATTTACTATAAATAGTAAATTTTGTGAAAATTTACTATAAATAGTAAATTTTGTGAAAATTTACTATAAATAGTAAATTTTGTGAAAATTTACTATAAATAGTAAATTTTGTGAAAATTTACTATAAATAGTAAATTTTGTGAAAATTTACTATAAATAGTAAATTTTGTGAAAATTTACTATAAATAGTAAATTTTGTGAAAATTTACTATAAATAGTAAATTTTGTGAAAATTTACTATAAATAGTAAATTTTGTGAAAATTTACTATAAATAGTAAACTTTGTGAAAATTTACTATAAATAGTAAATTTTGTGAAAATTTACTATAAATAGTAAATTTTGTGAAAATTTACTATAAATAGTAAATTTTGTGAAAATTTACTATAAATAGTAAATTTTGTGAAAATTTACTATAAATAGTAAATTTTGTGAAAATTTACTATAAATAGTAAATTTTGTGAAAATTTACTATAAATAGTAAATTTTGTGAAAATTTACTATAAATAGTAAATTTTGTGAAAATTTACTATAAATAGTAAATTTTGTGACAATTTAGTATAAATTTTGTGAAAATTTACTATAAAAATAAATTTTTTCAAAAATATTAGAGAACCTCCCACAAATCTTTCCCCATTCCATTTGTCATAAAACGTTGCATGTCCATTCATGATTCCATCCGAACATCGCCCTCATCAATTTGTAATTGGCAAAGTGGATAAAATTGGCACACCTTGTGATTTTATACGTACCCTGCACTTGTTACTAAGTTTTTTATGAAGTTGCTGTTGTTGTTGTCTGTAGTGAAAAACGAATATTTGAAAAAAAAATAGTTAATTAATTATTGAATTCGATTTCAAACCCAAAAAAACACCACCAACCAAACCTTGTGGCTGTATATTTGCAAAAAAATCAAATTGGGATATATTGAAAAAAAATTTGAAATTTCAAAACACGCATTTGTTTTTGTTCTATTTTCTTTTAAAAAAATGCACCTAACGAAAAAAAGCTTTACAACCACCACCCACTTCCACTTATTCCGCCACAGTCATTTTTCCTCTTTTAGTTGTGTATTTCATCGAATCGAGCTCTGCATGGCAGCCGAACTAATTTTTTGCCTTTTGTTTTTTTCGGAATGTTTTTCGTTTTCATTACAGCCCCATCCATTGGTGGACTCAGTGGTCTCGGCAATTCCCGACCCATCGCCACTGCCCATTCCCGGCACACCCTCCCCCGGCAGTAGTTCAGCATCGACAGCATCGGGATCCGGTTCGGGCAAAAGTAAGTCAATCGACATTTCAATTCATTAGGGAAGTAATGTGTATTCTCCCCCTCTCTTTGCAACAGGTACGGACACAATCAAACGAGGCATATCACCGGCCTCCGTTAAACAAGTCAATATCCAGGAATCCGTCAGTTCGTATTCGCTCAGTCAGAAAAAGTCCGATAGAGATTCTCTAGATACACAAGTACAACAACACCAGAACACAAATGGCCCTCACAACAACCAACACCACCTAACAATTAACAGCAACAACAACAACACCAATCAATATGCAACAACATCACCCACAGGCACATCATCCGGCAGTACAGCAGCAGCTGCCCATGCAGCAGCCCTGTCATCCGGTAGTAGCACCACGCGCAAAGGTGTTGATTTTTACGAACCGCACAAATCTCAGACCAAGAGCGACGATGACAATAATGGTGTGGTGAACAACAGCAGCAGTGGCAGCGGTATCGGCGGCAAATATGGCGATTCGGCATACAAATTGCGTAGCGCCTATGCTTCGTCGGGAGGTAGTGGCGCGTTGGAACACAAACCCACCAGTTCACTGTCCACCGAAGAATACAAGGCCATGCGTAACAAATCCAGTGCATCATCATCCTCAGCATCTTCACAGGCTACGGTTCTGAGTGCCGGCTCGGCGGGTACCTCGGCTACAACCACTTCCTCCGATGATTCGGACGATTTGGTTTCATATAAATCATCGGCTTCGACAAATGCCCTATTGGCCCAATCGCAGGCCATGACCACCACCCAGCTAATGTCGAAATATCTGAAGCGGGAACCTAGGGTACAATTTACCCCCATTAAATCACCCGATTCACCATCTCCACCAGGTGGCAGTAGTTTACCCCGAGGTACGTATCATCTAACCAATAGCAGTCGAAATATACACAGTGATGTTAGCAGCGGTAGCGGCATCAGCAGCGCCTTATCAGCTAGCAGCCACAATCTGGGTGGCAAATACACCCTCGATAAAAGCGACCGGGCCGCATCACCATCGAAATCATCATCTCTAGCCTCCAGTAGCCTCAAGGAACCCGGCACTTCGGCCTCAGCCACATCGCCAGCGGGTCTAATTTCAACGGGACGCCGTCTATTCGATAGCCTGGCTTCCGAACTAGCCGACTCAGCACTGGGCAGCAGCCGTTCGAGGATAGCTACATCCACCACCACATCATCAGCATACAATAACGACATTAGACACTCGGTAGCAAGTAGTAGTACTCATATTAGCAATAAGTCAACAACAAGCTCAGAACATCGTTCATTCGGTAGTAGTCTCTTTAGCAGCAGCAGTGGCACTGAACGCTCTGAACGCAGCAGCAGTGCCTATTCGAGCAATGGCTCAAATGGTTCGTCACACTATGGTACATTGCCCAAACAAAGTATCTCGGGGGCGACTCTATTCAATACAGCAGGCTCCTCGGCAACGAGTGGGGCCGCAGCATCGTCATCATCGACTGCACCTGGCACGGCCAGCAGCAGTGGTGTTAGTTCCATGTCTGGCTCAGCCAGTAGTTATGATTTTTATACAAATAATTCAAATTCCTCCACGGCTTATTCAGGTTCAAGTAGTATGTACGGTACCACCTCAAGGCCATATGCCAATGGTGGCGGTGGTACTGCCTCCTCATCGAATGGGGCTGGTAATTATCACACATTGGGCACATATCGTGTCCAATATGCTGCCACAAATCCATTTTTGGATGCATTTGATGCACCATCGGAAAGTAGCACCACTACCTCTGCCAGCAGTCGAAATGGCAGCGGAGGCAGTGGTGCTGGTGGCAGTAGTGGTGCCAGCAGCAGCAGTAGTGATCATCGTTCATCGGCTATGGCTGCATTCCATGCCAGTGCTGGTAGTAGTGGTGAGGTGAAAAATGGTAGTGATGAATATGATGATCTTAAATAGGCAAAAATGACACGAACGACATCAAAAACAACAACGATGACAAAAAAGACGATGGCATTCTCCAACGGTTCCTTGTCATTAATCACATAAAACAAGAACAACAACATAGAAATTACATGACTCAACAACAATAACAACCACAAAAACATTGTAGTAATCAAATCAATTAGTAATCGTTCATATATTCCACAACAATCATACACTCACACACACACCCACATCTAAATCAAAAGTTCGTAAACCATATATTTGCTCACAGTATTTCATAAAGACATCAATAGAGGTTGCTGCGAGGATTACAAAGAAAGTGACAGTAATGGCTCGCCTTTTGGGAAAATAAATGACTAAATATCGTACCAGTGGTCTTCCGACGACATTCTTATGCTAACTAGGGTTGGTAAAGATAACATGGTGTGAAAAGTTTGTTCATTCCATTCGCCTGATATTAGATTTATAAATATTGAAAAATTTGTCCCTTTATGAGGGAGGTAATAGAAGGAGTGGACCAATGAATCCCATCTTCAAATTTGATCTAGGCTTTGTAATAATAATAGGTTTTACAAAGTTTAGTCAATATAGGATAGACCGTTCGCATGATATTCTAAAACTATTTTTTGCACAATTTTGACCAATTGGGTGGGGTGGATGTACCTGATTCCCCATCTTCGAACTTGAACTAAGTTTGGAAGAAATAATAGTTAACCAATAAATGACTAAATATCGTACCAGTACCAGCATATGCTAACTTCTGTAAAAATCGAGATACAAAGCTAAAATTTTGTCCAGACCCGTATTTTATTTGCATGCAGAATAAGTTCGAAGGTTCGCGTTTAGGCAATGACCCCAGAGTTGGACAATCTAGTCCACGCAGCGAACTAGTTCCTTAATATAGTTTCTTTGTTCCGACTCATAGACAGTTCCGTGTTGATTCGTTGATGGGTGTAAAAATTAAACGAATTTAGCAGAATTGAGATCAAAAATAAAGGTACGAGATTAAAAAATAAAGGAACGGTCGAAAGGAACGAGATCAAAAAAAAAAAAAATGAACTAGAGAAGTGGACATAGTTCCTTTATCGGAATAGTTACAATGAGCCAGTTCGTTTCGGAGCCATATTATCCGTTCCTTATTAGATGTTAAATTATATGCAGTTTTTTAGTCACAATAAAAAGTCCTTAGAAAAAATTGTCGGTTCAGTTGCATATAGTCTCTACTTTAAAAATGTTAAGGGTTTGGACACATGTTTCAACGGAACAGGCTGTATTATAATATTATAGCTATTTGAAGGATATGGATAGATTTTCGGCACAATGTCTTCTCCTCCTAATATAAACGATCAGTATAGCTTTTAAAATGTTAAATTTCATTGTGTTCGGATTAGAATTGTGCGATTTAGAAGGGTTAAACATCTGGACCATACTAAAGATAAAAATTAATCGAAAAACGTCACATGTGCCACGATCTTAGGCATAACAGCACCAGAAAATCATAAGCCACTAACCAATATTTCCTTGCCTTCAAGACTGTCAAAATGTCCACAACTGTACCTTTTTTCATCCTAGAACCGTTCGTGTATATTGACAGATTGTTTAGAGGAATGAGTCCACACCACTTGAACTTGTTATATTTGTATTCTCACAGGATTGAGGGCATGTAGTGATTACCAAACGGAATATCGCGATTGTAAAATAGTGTAATACTCTACACTATAGACTATCCAGAAATGTAGTCCAGTTGCTTGAAATCGAAATAAAAACCCAACGGTTGGAGATTTAGGATATATTAAATCAGATTGAGATATGCTTCCAGAAGGGTTAATAATTAGGAGCGATGCAAACTTTTGCACCCTACTTATTCTATAAAATGTGTACGGGATGACAACTGTAACCCGAGTAAATGATGTATGGTTGCAATCCACCGCACATTCCTAAAGAGATCTTGTATATTGTCATAAGACCTTTCTTTGTAGAACTTTAACGGAGAGTTCTAGGATTATGGTTTCTACAGAGAGTTCTAAGGGGTAGGTTGTGGACAACGTTTGCCTCGAGGTATTTGGCTTCTAGAACGAGTTGTAGGGTTACTTCATCAAGGGTAGGCTAGTATATTGCACTTCTTGGTTAACAGTACTAATTGAGTCTTTGTCCACCTTGACAAAAGTACGAGCAGGAATCAGAATATTACCGGTGAAAATGTGCCACTAATCAAAAGGACCACATCATTGGCATATGCTAATGGTTTATGCAACTTTACAAGGATTGTTTTAATTGCCACAATACTGAAAATATGTTAAATTCCCAACCCTGCGGTGTGCCTCTATTTGCGGAGTGCTCCTATTTTTCATGTGGCCAAGGGTTGTTCCAAGGTATTTTAGCTTCTACAGAGAGTTGTAGGGTTCTCATTACCTACCCTGGACTTTGATATAATGCGTTTATTGGTGAACAATACTAATTCTGTCTTCGTAGACAGATATTTTTCGTAAAAAAATGCAATTGATCAACATGACCACATCATCGGCATTATCTAACACCATCATACGAAGTTGATCGAACTTCTCTGAGGCTATAGCTCTTCACCTTGTAGTATATCTTTGTTGACTGGTTTTCAAGGATTGTCCCCAGGTATTTGGCTTCTACATAGAGTATTAGCAATACTCTGTCAATGGTAGATTGTAGTAGAATTGCCATGTTTCTAACCTCTATATGAAGGTAGCTTACCAAAGTAAATCTGTACCTCTCCATATTAGAGTGGTATCGACTGATTGGACTTTGATGTGGGGTATTACCAGTGACATCGAATCTAGATTTTGAATTTTCTTATTTTCTTTTTTTCCATAGTCTTTTACCGAAAAAAGAGCGAATAATCGTGGTCAGTTACTAACAGCAGATAAATAAATTTTGAGAATTAATTTTCCTATATATTTCTGATACGTTCGACATTATGACTGGAAAAGTTGGCCTATCTTGGCGCCTTTTGGAGCTGTAGAACTATCGAATACTTTTACATTTCTATAGAGGCCAAGAAATTCAGATGAGATGAACAGATTTGGGCTATGATAACAGTATAGGAAAATTTTTTTTTGGAAATGGGTACTAATTATTTAGAAGTTCGTACTAGAAGTTTAAAAAGGTCTGGCTGAGTTAACTCTGTTGGAGACGATTCTTCGTCTTTATGAAATAGGTTCGGCAGGGACGAACTTTTAATGTCCTCCCTCGTGAGGTATGCAACCTAAATACCTAAAATCCGATTGGAACATTATGTTGTGAACAGCTAAATTAGAAGAAGGACTATGCAGCTAGAACTTCGCCACTTCGGTTTAACATTGCTTGTATATATGTCTTTAGAAACTGCACATAGAATTATCAAGATAAAATCTATAAAACCAAAAATCTATAAAACCTTATTAGACGATTGTCTTCATCTGAATGGCCATATTGCATAGTTTTCTGCAAATGCTCGCGGTGTCCACAGTAGATCGAGAATTAATGAAGGGGTCACCATATATTTTGGTGGTTAAAACAAACGGTGAATTTTCAATATTTCGAGTATTTTGGATATTTGTTCGTTATAAATCCTTCGAAAAAATTGAAAAGGTCTCTCACTTAAGGACAAGATTTAAATGTGTATAATAATTCCACATAAATATATTAAGATTGGAGCATCAATATATAACCTGAGCTTTAACGCCCTAACAAAAATGTGTACTTACCTTCACAATTATATCTCAGCTATTCATATTTTCATATCTGGAATTAAAAACGAGTAAAAAAAAATAATATTTTAAAGGCGTTTAGAATCTTGTTTTCGGTAAAGAAGCCGATTTTGGACAATATTCATATTTTTAATATCAAAAATGCATTATTCATTACCAATAAATAAGGGATTTCTTCAATAGAGACATTATTGTCACTTTCTTCAAAACAAAAATATATAATTTTTTCAAAGTCATTTAGAATGTCGTCTTTGGTAAAGAAGCCGATTTTTGACAATATTCATATTTTTAATATCAAAAATGTATTAATCATTACTAAAAAATAAGGGATTTCTTCAATAGAGACATTATTGTCACTTTCTTTATAAAAGCGACTTCTTTTACTATCATTACAACAACAACAACAACTGACATCCATAACGCCACATTTAATAACATTTTTCAAAATCAATCCTTTCACACATTCTCAACATTATCATCATCATTAATAACAACAACATCAACAAACAAAAAAACACCACAATACGAAAATAAATCAGCCCAACAACAGAGAAAACAATAATTTTTTATTCGTTCATCTAAAACAAAAAAAACCAAAAAACAATACAAATACAACACATATTTAAAAACAAACAATAACAAGAATGGGAAAAATGCTAGTATTATTACATTTTTTGAAATAATCTCCTTTTTTAAACATTTACAATTTACATACAAATTTACAGTAAACATTCGAAAGAAAAAAATAATAATATTATTAAAAATAATAAAACAAAAATTATGAATAATATTTAACGTAAACGTATTGTAAACTTAAAATACAACAACAACAAAACAAATATTTAAGACAGCAAACAAAAATTTACTAATTCTAAAAAAAAAATCATAAACTTTTTTTTTAAATATATATTTAAATTTCATAAAACAAAAAAATCCGTTGCATATAACAATACATTTTCATACACATACAAACACAACAAAGAACTGACTACAACACACACACTCATACAAAAACAACAGATATATAAAAACAAATTACTACAGTAAAATAATAATAAAAATATTAACAAAAATAATGAATTAACGAATTTTTTAAAATAGAATAATTAATATATATGATAATGATGATGATGATATGTGGCAATCTAAATAAACAAAAAAACAACTACTACTATTCATACTAAATATAACAACAAGAACAACAACAAACAACAACTACTACTACTATTATGAATTATTACTACTAACCATTACTTACACAATTAAGTATTTTTTTACAATACTGTAATAAAT